AAAGGATATTCGCGACTATTGCTGCACTGAAAAACACTTCAGAGACTTTGTCCCTTTCACCTCCAACGGCTCCTCATTCTTCATCCGTCTCTGCTTGTTCCCTCAGCTCCTGTACATTTCTTAGGCAGAGATTTTTGGAATTTCACAATGCACACATTTCCTTCTCTCTCAAAAGAGGGAAATATATGAATTTGGAACAAAAGGAGCAAATGGAAGGACTACAGCATGAGAATGAAATTACTGAGATTATAAAAATACAGATCCACAAGTTTTTTTCTGAACTGAAACTAATGAATGATACCAACTGATTTATTGCAAGCTTTGCCAGACCATTTACGATCCTGATCTTCCACTGGCATTGGTAAAATAGATTCAGCCACTTGTATTAAAATGGAATGCTTAATTGAACAATTAATAATCTAAAGGAAAAAGATAGATAAATGTTTAGAAAAGTTAGGCCCTCAGGTCTAATAAGTCAGAATCTTGAGCTCAGAGAAATCCTATATCTGTGTCTAGCACAAAAATTTTGCTCTTTCTGCTACAAAGGCTGAAAGGAAAAAGTACCACCCCCCCCCCCAAAAAAAAAGAGAGAAACTGCTAAAAAATTTTTCCTACCTGCATTTCCTAATCAAACAAGACCAGCAAACACAAGATAGATCTGTTACTATTTCAAGACTACTTGGAGATTTTGTCTTTATTATGCAATTTGGTCAGTTTTTAGGTAAAATGTAAACGCTGAAAATTTAGCTCATGTGAAACTTACAAAAAATGGTAAAAGAAGTTTTTAAAAATCAAACTTAGGTGGAAACTGCTTTACCCAAACTTTTGGTCCGCAGCTTTCATCATAGGGGTAAAAAAAGTTTAGCCATATGAATAGTCGCAATTTTGTCAGAAATGTAATTTGGATCCAGCTGTCTTTTATAAATTAGTGAGTCTGTGTGGTGAAACCCTGTCTCTACTAAAAATACAAAAAATTAGCCGGGCGTGGTGGTGCACGCCTGTAATCCCAGCTACTCAGGAGGCTGAGGCTGGCGAATTGCTGGAACCTGGGAGGCGAAGGTTGCAGTGAGCGGAGATCGCGCCATTGCACTCCAACTTGGGCAGCAAGGGCAAAACTTCATCTCAAAAAAAAAAAAAAAGAAAGAAAGAAAGAAAATTCTAAAATGAAAGCTGTAAAATCTTTATTTGTGTTTGTGTATGTTTAGATGTGTTTACACGTATTTAGATGTATCATTTGTTGTGTCTACCTGGTACCAAATCAACATAAATAAATGAGCACTCATAAATTAGTAAACACAAATATTTCCCAAGTTCACGTGACTTAAGTTAATCTTTATCTTTAATAAACAAGCTGGTTTAAAAATTATTGATAAAAGTAGAAATGTCTTCAAGATTGTCACCACTCCCTTTTGTCTCATTATACTTGGAAGACATTTTTATATTTGTCTCTGATAGATATTTTTTTATCATCAATTGTTTTTATTGTGTAATAATTTAATTATTTCTCTTCATACTACTTGAGAAATAATAAAATGAAGAATCACTTCTTACCTCTTTGAAGTGAAATATTTCTATTTGTTTCCCTTAATGTTATTTCCGTTCACCACCTGCCTAGAAATTCTTAATCTAGCATATTCATGGCATTACTTATCTTTTTTTTTTTTTTGGGTTTGGCACAAAGGTTATAAAACTACAAGCCCAGCCAAAACCAGAATGATTTTTGTGTAATTTTTTGATAGATAAGACTAGTTTAATCTTGTTGGTTAAATGAAAACAGCTGTATCTTCTGAGTTATTAGCAAAATACCCATATATTTAACCTAAACTCCTTCCTTAAATGAGTATCTGATATTCGCAGGCCATAAAAATGGTTAACAAGGAAGTAACTTGAAATAATGACTAACTTTGTCCAATATCTCAATTTTCACAAGCAATCCAGGTAAACTGTTAAAAATAAATAAATTAGGTAAATATAAACGGGATAAACTTTTATAAATAATTTTTATGTAATTTTCAATCTTTATGTTCAATTTAAATACTACCCATTAAATCTTTATTTCCAAATAAAATAAGAAAACTATACCATAGCAAAACATATTTCTAAAAATTATAAAGGAGCTATTTGTATTTTAAAACAATCAGGTAAAGTATACTTTTGTGAATAAAATTGAAACATTTTCCTTTCTCTGTACCTGAATTCTCCAGAATTTGTAAACTATGCCTCGACAGCTAAGGCCAAAATAATGATCGTCCAGAGACTGGAGGTTGATTCATTACTCAGGAGAATGGCAAGTAACCTCATGTCATGATCTACTCCATGTTGCTAGCAACCTGGCCCACATGCGATGACAAGGTCCCCACTCAGGGACGTGACTTCTTGGGAATGAGCCTTCCCAGAGCCAAGGAAGGAAAGAAGGATGTCTACCCTTCTAACCTAAGTGGAGACTGATCATCAATGCTTCCAAGGTTAGATTTTTTTTTTTTTTAATCAAAAGAGGGAAATGATACCCTACAGGTCACATTAGGCAAACTTCCAAGTTAAGTCACCGGGGGAAGAAGTCTCGTGTGTCATCTTGTTGCTAAGTAAATAATCTTACTGTGGGCTCTTCAAATTCTCGACGTCCTGTGTGATTTACTGACATTGAAAAGGGTGCTGATTTGCCTCTGAATCATGAAGTTTTACTGATTGCCTTACACATAGGCATCTTAGCCTGTGTGTTGCAATCCATCTTCAGTGATTGTAATCTCTTTATTGTACCCCTTCACGATAAAGGACAACTCTGATATGAGGTGTCCCCTTCTCCTAAACTTTCTGAAAGTCTTCCAGCTTGTAACAGATTCTGGAACACGTCCAACTTTGTTGGTAGGTTTCCCCAGATCGATTCTCACATGTGGCTTCCAATAAACCTTTATTACATTATTTCTGCTTCAGTAGCTTTAATGTTGGTTGATACCTTTCCGTGTGCTACAGACTAAAGACTACACACAATAGAAGCTTCCCGAAGACCTCTCTCCATCTTTTCCCTAGACCTTCCAGCCACAACTTTTCAAGCCCCTCCCAAAACAACCTACTAACCACACTGTCTACCCCTGAAATGTGGATTTATCCACCCTTTCCATTTTGCCTATTATGCCATTTCAAACTTTTCTCCCACATTCAAGGACTGCTGAAATGTTCCTTCTGCAAGCCTCTATCTAGAGCTCATAGCAATCCTCCTCTTGATCTTTCTTACCTTGTTCTCATTGCGCATTGGATTAATACCTCTGCTGCAAAATATATTATGTTGAAACAACTACTTCTTTTATATGCAGGCTGAAAGCTACATAAGAGTAGAAATCTGTGTTTTATTAATCACTGTATCCACCCACCACCTTGTCTAGTCAGGGCCTTGCCTAGAGAAGGCCTTCCCTGACTGTCACATGGCAGAGTATACGTGTGATGGAGGCGTGATGGTACACCAGCCTCTGCCTGCAGGGAACAGTAGCTCTGGGGCCAGAAATATTAAACCACTACTGTACTTCTTTTCAGATTTTTTTTTTTTTTAAGATGGAGTCTCACTCTGTCACCCAGGCTGGAGTGCAGTGGCACCATCTCGGCTCACTGCAACCTCCGCCTCCCGGGTTCAAGTGATTCTTCTGCCTCAGCTTCCAGAGTAGCTGGGACTACAGGCGCCCGCCACCACGCCCGGCCAATTTTTGTATTTTTGGTAAAGACGGGGTGTCACCATATTGGCCAGGCTGGTCTCGAGCTCCTGACCTTGTGATCCACCCACCTTGGCCTCCCAAAGTGCTGGGATTACAGGCATGAGCCACTGCGCCTGGCCTCTTTTCAGATCTTTTAAAGACATAAATGTAAATACTCATCTACTGTACTTACTTATTATTTTATTTTATTTTGAGATGGAGTTTCTCTCTGTTGTCCAGGTTGGAGTGCAGTGACGTGATCTCGGCTCACTGTGGCCTCCACCTCCTGGGTTCAAGCAATTCTCCTGCCTCAGCCTCCTGAGTAGCTGGGATTACAGGTACCTGCCACCACGCCTGACTAATTTTTGTATTTTTAGTAGAGATGGGGTTTCACCATGTGAAACCAGGCTGGTCTTGAACTCCTGACCTCAAGTGATCTGCCTGCCTCGGCCTCTCAAAGTGCTGGGATTACAGGTGTGAGCCACTGTGCTCAGCCTCATCCACTTCAAAAAGTAATATCATAGTCTATGCAGTAAAAGGTAGAATAAGTAAGTAAACTATACTTGTTTTCTGTTCTATCTTGTATTAACAGAAGTAGAAAAAGAAAAGGCAGGAGAGAGAAAAGTAGGACGAGAAAGAGAAAAGGAAAAAAAAAAAAAGACGAGAGAGAGAGAGAGACCATCTGAGACACAGGAGAAAAATGAAATAATGACATAAGGGCACAAAGACGATCCGGGGAATTGTACAGACAGAGACGAATACAGATGATACCGAGACAGTTGGTGCTACAATTTCTCACAATGTGCAATGTTCTTGCAGAAGACATTGAGTTTTTATGTCACCCTTTTGTTCCTGAACTACAAGGGATTTTGAACTCAGAGGTCAGTCTGGTTAGAAGTCAGCGAGTGTGGGTCACTGCAGGGCTAGTCAGCCCATGTTCTGTCTGAGGGGCCAGCTGCCTCCTAGCTCCAGCCAAATTTTGTTCTCTGGGAGCAAACGAGGATCTTGCTGCTGCCAGATCTTTGTATTTTTCAAGAGACGCCAGAAATCTGGGTGTTAGTTTGTAAAAACCACTCTGTGGGCCAAACAAAACACGTCAGTGGGCATCGCGAGCTGCCAGTTTATGCCCTCTCAACCGTACACAACACCACGGCTGTTTCCCCTCACAGTTTTCACTGACATGCTAAGTAAAACCCAGCCTCGGATTAGAGATGGCCCACAGGCCATTGCTGGCCCAGTGAAGTTGCAGCCACCGTCCTGGTTATCAGCGGTCAGTGAACTCAGGACAACAGGAGCTGAAACTGAGGCTAAGCCCACTTCCCCGGGGCCAGCCTGTTCCTGGCTGAGATGACACCTGTCAGAGCATCCTGTGCTTCCTGTTCAACAGTGCACTGGGCTCTGTGCACAACAGAAAAGAGAAAGAGACAAGAAAGTGGGCTTCTTTTTCCTTCCAAATTTACGCTGTTTCAGAGCTGAGAGGACTAGCGCATGAAGCACTTGACAGACATTAAATGACATAGAATAAAGTGAAAATTATAGATGCAAGGGTCAAGTATCCAGTGGAGTTTATTTGAAGAAGTAAAAAGAAAGTAGTCTCGCGTTCTAATCTCAGCCACATTCTGGAGTTCCTCTGGTAGCACAAACAGGCCTATTATCTGTTCTTCTTATTTTGGAATGATTCTAATAATACTTGCCTATTTATGTCTTTTTCTGGGAAGAGTCAGAATTAATTAATTTTTAGAGACAGAGATAAAAATTCAAATTCTACATCTATGATTATATAAAATCAAGAGGGATATAACTTAGAAAAAATACATTTCATTTAGATGTTAATTTGGTCATTAAAATAAGCAATTAAAACAAATAAATTAGTAATTAAAACAAGACATAAAAATGGAGAAAGCCTGACATAAGCATAACAACAGAATGCTTTTTTTTTAAATAATCAACTTATTTTCCCTTTCAAGAATTTCCAGGAACTGTCTACAGCTCTTACATATTCATTGTGAGAAGGCAGTCTGCTGTTTTTGAAAGATGAAGCCAAACTTTTAAAATCCTGATTAAAATTATTGAATAAATGGCCTTGAAATGGCAATTATGGAAATCACCGCACTAGAAAATAATACACAAAATTTCACCATCCAACAAGATTAAGTATTTTCATAGTTCAGTATTCACTTTCTAGCCTTTCAATATATATAGTTGTTAAACTAGTATATTGTATTCTTTTTAAAATTTAATATAATATCATAAATTTTTTTGTATCACTACATACCCTTCATACCTATTATTTTAATTAATACATCATATTTTATCTTTTTTTAAAAAAGTTATCTCATTTTCCTAGTTTCAAGTATTTTCACTATTAACAAGTAATGCTGCAACTTTGTACATTTTAGATTATTATGAAGCATTCTCCGGAGCAAATAAAAATGCGTCAATATTGTTACTGCTCCTGAAATGTATTGCCAAGTTGCTTTCCAAACACCTGGCAGAATTTAAGTGATACAATGAATGACTATATAAATCTTAACACTTCTTGTCACCGCTAGCATTATCAGTAAAAAGGGCCTAAACAGTATGAGTGACACAGGTCAATACAGTGATTCATTCTGAACTGGTGCATTAGGTCCACAGCACTATCAATGGAAGTTAAGCCAGAGAACTGTTCTTAGAAATTCTTAGTTTCCTCATCTCATAAAAGAAGAGTTTGAAAGACACAATCTCTAAAGACTATTTCAGCTTTAAATATCTAAATCTTAAGCACTGGTGAAACACTTCATCCTTCTGATAATTTTTGCTCCATTATGTTTTAAAAGAATTGGAGAGATGGTGTTAAACTTTTGTAAGAATTGAGTCCCCAAGAAATCTATTTAATTAAATTCAGCAAAATGTATTAAGGCTATTTTAAGTGTATTTTTACTGGAAAAGAAGGCAAGAAGGAAGGAAGGAAGGAAGGAAGGAAGGAAGGAAGGAAGGAGAAAAGGAGAAAGGGAGGGAAAGCAAAAAGAAGTCAGTGTCCTGCTTAGAAGAGAAAAATTCATGAGAACTTTAGGAACCAGGCAACCATTGGCCAAACATCCAAAGATCGAATTTTGGACCATGAGATATATTTGTGATGGTTCATTTTTTAGGAAAAAAAGAAAAAACAACAAGATACATAATAGAACAAAGGTCATTTTATAAGATGTGCTAACTTGTTGAAAAGAGTCTTATGAGGAGCATAAAAAATAAAATAATATTGACAACTAAAATTGTTTTTAAAAGAGTAAAGTATAACGTCCCAGAATTTCTGTGACATCAAACACATAATTCAAGTAAAAGTGAGCTTAGGTTTGATCGTTTATTGATGTTTAGAATTCTGAGAGTGCCTCCTGCTGTAATTACCAGCTCTGGATGCCTCTGCCTCACTCTGGATGCAGGCTACACCCAGCTTCATGAGGGATCGCCCTCAAAACTAAAGGGGCATGGATTCCACTGTCTGCTGCTGCTGCCTGGACCCACGCAGCCACCCACATGTGGCAGCATCCTTGTCATGCTCCTCTGGACTTGGTCATCCTCTGTATCTTCCTTCATAGAACCACCCCACTCCTCCTGCCTGGGCCTTGAGCCCGACCCAGGCTCTCTGGTCTAGCCTAACGCTCTGGAATCCACATGTGGCATATACCCACGTTCCAGCTGTTACATCTGTAATTCAGTCCTATGACACTCCTGAGGGATAAGACTGGACATTCAGACCTTGTGCAACTGGCTGGGGTCCTGCTGTTCCTGAGCAGAGCACAAGGCCAATGCCGGGAGGTAGATCTGAAGCTCAAAGTCATGACCCTAGCAGAGCACAATGCCAAGGCTGGAAGGTAGATCTCAAGTTCAAAGTCATGACCCTAGTGCTGAATACCTCTCCACACCTCTCACTCACGTGGATGTTTCTGGAAAACTGCTCAACTCTATTGATTTGTTACTCTAGAGCAGTCATTCATAAAACACATAGCAATGGAGCACCTACTATGTGCAGGTCATGGTGCTGAGCATTATGTGGGAGACAAAATTAAATCCCAAACAGAACCTGCTCCAGTGAGCTTAGAACTGGGCCGCGGTCTGTATAGCTGAGGAGAGATACTTCAGAGATGATGTGCTTGTGCTTTGGGGACAACTGTACCTTTATTTGATTCATTTTCTGTAGAAATGTAGACAAACACTTCAAAAATTTTCAAAAGAGGAAATGGATCAAGACATTTTGATAAATGTTTTCTAAAACTCAATTCTTAGCTACTATCAAATATGATATGCTATCAAATAATAAGGATCAGGAAATAGCCTACTATATATATAAACACATATGTATATACATACGTATATATACACATATATATACATACACATATATATAAAACAAAAGAATGCCCCCCAAATTGTGAACCATAATATAATCATCATAGAATTTTAAATGTATACACATATAGAAACTCTTTTTTTTTTTTTTTTGAGATGGAGTCTCACTCTATTGCCCAGGCTGGAATGCAGTAGAACAATCTCGACTCACTGCAACTTCCACCTCTGAGGTTCAAGTGATTCTCTTGCCTCAGCTTCCCAAGTAGCTGGGATTATAGGCATGCTACACCATGCCCGGCTAACCTTTTAATTTTTAGTAGAGATGGGATTTCACCACATTGGCCACACTGGTCTTGAACTCCTGACTTCAAGTGATCCGCCTGCCTCGGCCTCCCAAAGTGCTGGAATTACAGGCGTGAACCACCGCACCTGGCCTGAACTCAACAATATAAAGTGTTTGTAGTATTGTGAAATATTTCATGATTTCTACCATTTAGAAGCACAATAAAGGATGATTGAATTAGTACATTTAGTCAAAAGAAATTGTCTGGGGGAAGGCAAGGTGAAATACCTCCATGTAAATACAGAACTTAGCACAAGTTCTGAATTTGCTTAATCACCAGAGATCTTAAAAGCTTTCCTGCTGGATTGACATAATGTTTGCAGTGATTTGCAGGCCCTTCCATCCACTTATCCCATGTAAGAGCCAATCACAGTAAGCACAGGAGCAAAGAAGAAGCTGGAGGCAAACAGCTCCAGCTTTGGTACCTTGCAGTGACCAGTTATGATGAGGGTCTGTTTTTACTGGGTGGGGAAGAGAATGAGGTTATTAGAGGTTAAGCTTGTAGGGAATATTTTAAAATTCCGCTGACCACATAATTTACCAATTCCTTTCCATTTCTCAATCTGTTTAAGGCTCTTTTATAGACCAACTTAAAAATTACAGTTGGTCTCAGATTGCTTTTTATCATTTATACAAGCTCACAGCTTCTGGAATTCAAATGAGAAGAAAACACCTGATCAGTCACCAGGAAGGCAAGAGAACAGAATATGGAAGAGCTACTGCTCCCCATTCCCAGTCCAACGTCCTCCTTTGGGCTGTGGACAATCCTCCAAGCTCTGGCCCCTGTGGAACACCAGGCTTCACCTTCTCAGTACTTGCTCATGAAAACACACAGAGCATACACATATTCCATTGCTGGATCTCACAGAGTACCCACGTTCTGGGCTGGCAAAAGAAATCAGCTTTAATTTGGAGATAGAGCAATTGAGGCATGATAATTTTAAATGACTAAGTGGCTCTGTGGAAATTAAATCCAGATTAAATTAAATTAGAATGCAGACTGCTAAATGACACGTTTTTTGTTTTCTTTATTTTGAGTCTGTTGACAGGAGCATTTAAATGTAGCTTTGAGAAAGGAATAATGAACCCATTAGGCTGTACACATTTGGTGCTTAATAAATGTTTATAAAATGAATGGAAAAATGACATTTTAAGGAAAAAAAAAAAAAAAGGATTGCATTACATAGAATAAGCCAGCAAATTTGTGAGATGAGGACTTTTCTTTACCCATGGTGGTTTCTGAAGTCACCTTATTAAAGGGGACTTGGCTAAAATAACTTCAGTTAAAATATATGATCTGTTACAAGCTATTGATTTTAAAACAAGAAGGCGGCTCACATTCATGTATTTCATTGCTAAGTGCTGCTGTTTTGTACAACACTGCCTTGACTAAACTGACATCCTCACAGGAAATAACAACATTCTGACATTAAAATGCACTCATGCTCAGCAACAGTCTGATCATTTTATCCTCTCTATTAATATTAGAAAACCATTTCTGCAACGTTAGTATTTCTAAATGAGTTGAATCAGATTCTCTTAAGGGAATAATTCTATCAAAGATGATTTTTTAATGCAAAAATGCAGGCACATGCATTTGTCCTAGGTCCTACTTTGCAGAATACTATTTCATTCAATCAAGTGATGGTTTTTGGAACTACGCCATCATCCAACAGCGCGAGGCCTTCCTTACACCTGCAGTCTATGTTAAGGGCAGCATCCACCTAATATTAAATCTCAGCAAACCTTTTAATAAAAGGTATCTTTATGCAAAAGAAAAGAAACGACAGTATTTAACTAGCAAGTTACATGTTCTTTAGGAGGGAGAGGAAGGCAGCACAGTATTTCTGTGGGTCTGGGGTGGGGTGGGGTAAAGATGAAGCCATCCTTCCTTCTCCCTGGAATGCAGGCTTCTGGGACCCCGCCTGCATGCTCCCTCAGCCATCAGTGAGCTGGGAGACTCATGCTCTAAGTCTGGGCTCAGTATCCTTATCTGTAAAACCAGGGAACCGATTACTTTTTTTTTTTTTTACAACCTCCTCTAATCCTGGATTATAGGATTCTAGGATTTCTGTGTTTCTGATTCATACCAGAGCCCTGTTATGATCGCTGTAACTCAGGATTCACAGCCTGTTTCAATTCTTGCTTTTAAACATAGATTCAACCTTAGTTCCGTCCTTTGATTTCCCCAGTGTCTCAAACAAGAAAAGAATCAACTGCTTAGAGTTGGAGATTTATTTATTCTAATAAGAGTCTGAACATTTTGTAAACAAACAAAATGTTAATTCTCTTTAAATTGATTTTGGTATATAACTTCTGTCAATGTTTCTAATACATATCTTTAACCACACATGAACATGGAATCTTAATGCCATTTAAATCTTTGGGGTCAGATACAGTGGCTCAGGCCTGTAATCCTGGCACTTTGGGAGGCCAAGACAGGAGGATTGCTTGAGTACAGGAGTTCAAGACCAGCCTGGGCAACATAGTGAGATGCTATCTCTACAAACAAAACTGAAATCAATTAACTGGGCGTGGTGGCACGTGCCTGTAGTACCAGCTACTTAGGAGGCTGAGGTGCGAGGATTGCCTGAGCTTGGGAGGTCAAGGCTGCAATGAGCCATGATTGCACCACTTCACTCCAGCCTGGGCAATGGAGCGAGATCCTGTCTCAAAAAATATACATGCGGAGCATCCCTCAGTATGTACCCATTTAAAGACCCGAACTCAACCACCATTCAAACTGGCCAGAAAGAAACTACCTTTATGATCTCTGGAAATACAGGACATTATGCCACATTATGAGAAAGAAAGAAAATGTGCAATTGGAAGAATTAGAGAAATAAATTATTTTTAATACTCTGGACAGATGAACAAAAAATAGATCAGCTAAAATCCTTTCTGTAGTGGGACTTTCTCATCTGCTGTTAATTTTAGTGTAAGAATATGAAATCCAAAGGTCAAATCAGGTTCATTTGCCCTAAATGTCTGTAAATTTATCTATATCTCTATATCTAACCGCTAACAAACTAACTCAGATCCCTGTGGAAGAGCTCCTTAACCTAGAAAAGTATATTACAAATAAAATTTTGATAATAAAACTGCATATACCCTCTGAAAAAAATATACATATATTTGGGAAAACAAGTTTTCCCAAATTAAAAAGCAGTGGCATTCATATTGACTCAGTATTTGCTTTAACACATAAGCATCACTTAATATAATTAGGGTAAATACAGTCACAGTACCTAAGTTAATACTTCCTATGCATGTGGAGATGAGCTTTTTTTAAAAGGGATTGAGCAAATTCCCCTGAAGTATTCTACATGCATTATTGCAATTGTTCTGTAAATGTGTAAAAGCCTTAGGACTTTATCTTTTAATTATATATGATATGCAACACTTGTTCCCAACACCTGCAGAGAAATTTCCCGGACACTGAAAGAAACAGTGCTTTTATCTTATTAAATTAGTGTGGTTTCAATTTCACATTATCTTTGGTTGCTCAGCCTGTAGTATTACAAGTTTATTGCTTCTCCTTGGCTATGCAAAAAGTTGAAACCAAAAGTCATTTTCTGCTTTATTGACTTGCAGGAAGAAAAACCGAAATTATCCTGGTCATTAAAGAGAGTACTTACAATTTTTTTGCCTTCTATTAAGACAGTAGAAGTATTTGTTTCAACATTCCACAGTCTCACTGTTCCCTTCTGTTCTCTGTAGATGAATTCTGTATCTGTAAGAGAGGAAGTAGGAAAAAACCATGTGAAACATCAAATAACTCCCCTCAGCTTTTGACGAATGCTTATGTAAAGTAAAATCGCTAGTTTTGAAAAAAAAAAAAGATAGACTCCCACTCATCAAAGGGCCCTTTCAATATGGTGCAATACACCTAAATTTTCTTTGTTTTTTTTTTTTTTTTTTTTTTTTTGAGACGGAGTCTCGCTCTGTCGCCCAAACTGGAGTGCAGTGGCCGGATCTCAGCTCACTGCAAGCTCCGCCTCCCGGGTTTACGCCATTCTCCTGCCTCAGCCTCCCGAGTAGCTGGGACTACAGGCGCCCGCCACCTCGCCCGGCTAGTTTTTTGTATTTTTTAGTAGAGACGGGGTTTCACCTTGTTAGCCAGGATGGTCTCGATCTCCTGACCTCGTGATCCGCCCGTCTCGGCCTCCCAAAGTGCTGGGATTACAGGCTTGAGCCACCGCGCCCGGACCCTAAATTTTCTTAATCCAACCTCACATGATGCTTCTCTCCTACTTTACACACTGACATAGAAAGCACAGGCGCACACCCAGAAAACCTTTGGAACAGCTAGAATGTTCTTGGGCAGGACACAAAGAGCAGATTAAGAAAGCAGCTATTCCAAGAGGCCAAAGACAACTGCTAGTAAAGGGACTAATTTCCTATATACAACTTTGGAGTAAATCTGTATGCAGAATGCCTGCGGCCCATAGCCACATCCTGCAAAACGTGCTTTCATCTGCTCCACAAGCTCCCCTAGGTGCTCTTGCTTGGAGGAGTTAGCTGCTTCGCTGCCGTGAATACCTTTGAATCTAAACATCTCATAGATGCTGAGTCTGGCCTCTTATTTATGAACAACCAAGATTTCAAATTTAGAAAATTAGGAAAAACGCTTACTCAAAATAGTATGCATATGGACACGTACTTATATATCTCCTATGAATGAAAGGGCATATTTCTGAAAGGTAGGGTTGTATAAAAAAAAAAAAAAAAAACTCCCCAAAATCAATGAGATAAAAACACTCCAACAGAAAAAAAAAATAGGCAAAATAAATACACCAAGAAATGTTATAAAACAAAAATAGTGAGTAAGCACATGAATAGACTCTTAAAGTCATTAACACTCTGATGATGCAAAATTAAAGCAGAGATAGGTACCATTTTGCAGCCACTATCTTAGAAGACAGTAAGAAAATCTCATATGGGAAAATTACTTCCTGAAATATAGGGTTGTAGGTTGAGAGGCAGGGACCACAGTGGGGAGAAGGAAAACACTATCTTTCTGAGTGAAGGCAGTAACCTTGAGCCAGTTTGATGGTAAAGGCATTTCACATATAATAGTTGATGACTGAAAAACATGATGCAGACTGGATTAATTCAAAAGCAGGGTTGTTATAATTTAAGTATGTGTAGATTTTATGAGGAAAATGAAAGTCTATCACTATAATGAAAATTTCATCATCGACATGGACCTAGATCAATCTATTTTACGAATTATGTAAATTACATCCAAAGATTACGTGCTAAAGTTAACAGACGTTTTAGGTGAAATTGTTTTCATTTATTTTCCTGGTAATACTTTCATGGACAAACCAAATGAGTCAATTTTTCTGTTTCTTAAGCAAACACACCAAGGTGCATCTATCGAATGAGCTATCTCCCATTACAAGCATTCACATGGAAGCCTCTGCAATCATTTCAGTGAAGTTGCCCTCATATAGCAAATTTTAGAATTTTTTTTTTTTTTAGAAAGCACTTAAGTTTGTTAGTTATGTAAGTTGCAAAAAAGGTTACTACTTAATTTGATGGTCACCTTATCTCCCTTTGTTCACTAGCTTTTACTTTGAATGAATTTCTAAATATCAACTTTGCCTTCAGTGGATAAAGATTTACTGCCTTTGACCCCCGCTCAGGAGTTCCAAGTTCTCTGCTTTTACCCCACCCCACATTACTGATCACAGTGAAACATAATGATTGTTTTAAGAGTGTGCAGTGGGGAGCTGAACAATGAGAACACAGAGAAGGGAACAACATACACTGGGGCCTGTTGCAGGGGGGCAGGAGGAGGGAGAACATCAGGATAAATAGCTAATGCATGCAGGGCTTAATACCTAGGTAATGAGTTGATAGGTGCAGCAAACCACCATGCACACATTTACCTATGTTACAAACCTGCACATCCCGCACATGTATCCCGGAACTCAAAGTAAATACATACATAAAAAAGATTATGCCGTACTACATTTGAGGTACATAAAACCTGCTTGTTTCAATGGAAACCAATGAGACCATTTCAGAATTAGAACATATGATTGCTTTTCTTTCTCCTGAATTTTATCATTCCAGTACTTTTAACAGTTCTATCACATGTTTATGTATCTTTAAATACTATGTTGTTTAGTTTTCTTTGCATTTGAGCTTAATAAGGTGATATTTACTGTGTTCCTCAGTAATTTATATTATATCGTATTTCTAAGGTGAATATAATAGTCCATACTATCTTGGCTCTTAGTTCTCACTGATGTACATGACTCAAGTGTATATTACAATGGATACCAGTCATTCCTAGTTTTATTGCTATTACAAACCATTCTACTAGGAATATTCTTCTTTACCTCTTTTGGTACAAATGTACAAGGCTTTTGCTTCTCCTCTCCTCTCCTCTCCTTTCCTTTCTTTTCTTTTTTCTTTTTTTTTTTGATGGAGTTTCACTCTTATTGCCCAGGCTGGAGTGCAATGGCACGATCTCGGCTCACTGCAACCTCTGCCTCCCGGGTTCAAGTGATTCTCTTGCCTCAGCCTTCCCAGTAGTTGGGATTACAGGCTTGCACCACCACACTGAGCTAGGTTTTGTATTTTCAGTAGAGACGGGGTTTTGCCTAGGTTATGGGAATTCTTAAACTTGCAAGTTATTTTCAAAAGTGGTTATGGCACTTTAACAGGCACCAATAGTGAATGAGTTCTCATAACTCACATTCTGTCTAAAACTTGCTATTTTCAAACTTCTTACTATCTTCCAATACAGTGGGTGCAAAAAATGGTATCTCTGATTTTATTTTGCATCATCAGAGTGTTAATCACTTTAAAAGTCTCTTCATGTGCTTATTTACTATTTTTGTCTTATTTTATAAAATTCATTGGTGTATTTATTTTGCCTACTTTTTTCTGTTGGAATGTTTTTATCTAATTGATTTATAAGAGATTTTTATACATCCCATATGAAATATTCATTAGTTTTATGTGTTGAAAGTCCATTTTATTAGTTGTGGTTTTCATTTTATATATAAAATATTTTGATAAACAGAAATTATTAATGTAGTAAAAAATGTTTACCCTTTGTGTTTGATATGACATAAATAATAAATACTTTCCCATTACAAGGTCATAGTAATATTCTCCTATATTTTTTCTGAAACATTTTTTACTTTTCCTTTAAAAAATAAAGGCTTAATTCACTGGAAGATGACATGAATGTATGGTGTGAGGTAGGAATCTAATTTTCTATGTTTATATCTATAGCTATTTGTTCCAGTACAATTTGAGAAGGCCATTATTCGCTCTGTAAGATGTGATGTCATCAATAATATTTCAGCAACAATATCGGCAGTCATTGGGTCATATGGGACTTTCTTATGTGTTCACTGATGAGTTGGCTCATTCCTGCATCGATACTACACTGTGAAATTATGTACCTTTGTAGTACATCTTGCTATCTGGAAGTTTTCCCATATGATTTTCCTTCACGAAGCGTTTGGTGTTCCTTAGGATTTTGCTGTTTATTATACGTGTTACATTCAGCCTGTTAAACTAGTAAAGAATTCTCCTGGGAAACTGACTGAAATTTCATTCAGTTGAAAGTTCCATTTGGAGGAAATTGGACACCTTTACAACACTGAGTCCTCCTTCTGTGTACTTTGTCTGCCTTTCTGTTTATTTAGTTTTTTCTTTTTAGCATCTTTCCATGAGTTTTTATATTTATCCATTGGCAAAAATAACACAAAACATAACCTATCTAGAAATAAATCCACAAAGGATGTGAAAGACCTCTATGCCCCTTTATTGTGGATCATCTATTTCATCAGTAGCCCCAGGCAACAAGTGATCTGTTGTGTTCATTAGATAGGTTTGCCTCTCCTAGAATTTCTTACAAATAGAATCACACATTACACAGTCTTTTGTGTTTCTCTCCTTTCACTCATCATAATGATTTTGAGATTTATCCATGTTATTCCATGTATTAATGTTTCATTCCCTTATACTGCAAAAGAGTAGTCTAGAGGACTGATAGACCTCAATTTTTATGCATTCAAATTCAGGCATTGGTGAGAATTTAGACTGCTGCCAGGTTGTAGCTATTATATTGTTGGGTCATATGGTATATGTTCGCACTTAACTTTATGGGAAACTGTCAAACTATTTTCCAAAGTAGCTATACCATTTTGCCTTTCCACCATCAATTGTGTAAGAGTCACATGCACACCATTTCTTCGCTATCAGTTGGCAAAATCAGTCTTTTAAACATTAGCCACTCTAGCAGGTGTGTAGTGGTATCTCACTGATAAACAGTAATAATGAACATCTTTTCATGTGATTATGGGTCATTTGCAGGTTTTTTGCAAAGTATCTTCAAAAATTTTGTCCAATTTTTTTTTTTTTTAACAATTTATTACTGAGTCCTTTAAACATTCTGGATATGAGTCTTTGTCTGAGATGTATTTTTTAAAATTCTTTACCAGGGTGTGGCTTTCCTTATTATTCTCCCAATTAATTTTTTAAACACTGGGGCCTGTCATTGAGTGGGGGGCTAGGGGAGGGATAGCATTAGGAGAAATACCTAATGTAGGTGATGGGTTGATGGGTGCAGCAAACCACCATGGCATGTGCATACCTTATACCTATGCAACAAAACTGCACATTCTGCACACGTACCCCAGAACTTGAAGTATAATCATAAAAAACTATTTCTAAAGTGAATGAAATCTTTTTTTTTGTATTTTTCTTTTATGATTCATGTTTTTAGTATCCTGAGAAATTTTTGCCTATCTCAATGTTACAAAGATTTTATCTCATGTTTTCTTTTAGAACTCTAATAATTTTAGCTCTTTCATTTAGGGTCTACAATCAAATTTTAGTTATCTTTTAGACAGTATATGTGACAAGCAGCAATATTCCTTTCTTTTCAGTCACATAACTCATTTGTTATTCAGGTATGTTGTTGAAAAGATTGTCTTTTTCCCACTGAATTACTTCGGCTTTTTTTTTTTTTTTTTTTTTTTTTTTTTTTTTTGTCAAAAATGAATTGAAAATATATGTTTAGATTTCTTTTTCTGGACTTTCTGTCCCATTCCATTTATCTGTGTCTATTCTTAATGCCAATGCCATACTGTGTTGATTACTGTAACTTTAGAGTAAGTCTTGAAATCAAGTAGTATAACACCTCAAACTTTGTTTTACTTTTTCAAAATTGTGTTGAATAGTTTAGGTCCTTTGTATTTCAATATAAATTTTTAAATTATCTTGTTGATTTCATCAAACAAGCATTTGGAATTAGGATTGGTATTACATCGAAACTATAGTTCAATTTGAGAACAGCCATCTTAAAAATATTGCTTATTCCAATCCAAGAACATAGTATATATCTTTATTTGTTTACATCTTTCTTAGCTTCATTTTGGAAGTTTAGTAGTTTTCATGTACAGATTTTGAATTTCTTCTTAATAATTTAATCCCAAAATTTTCCAATACTTTTTCATTATTGTAAATGGTATTACTGTTTAATTTCATTATTTGTTAGTTTGTAATGTATAAAAATAAAATTAATTTTGTCTATTGATTTTGTGTCCTGCAACTTTATTCAATGCACTTTCTAGTTTTAGTTCACTTAAAAAATACAATTCTTGGCCAGGCACGGTGGCAGGCACCTGTAGTCCCAGCTACTCAGGAGGCTGAGGCAAGAGAATATCGTGAATCTAGGAGGCGGAGTTTGCAGTGAGCCAAGATCACCCCACTGCACTCCAGCCTGGACAACAGAGCGAGACTCAATCTCAAAAAAAAGAAAAAAAATATATACTTCTTAGGGTTTTAAGACACACAATCATGTTATGCAAATAAGGACAGGTCTACTCCTTCCTTTCAAATCTGTGTACCTTTTATTTATTTTTTGGCTTTATTGCACTCACCAGGACCTTTATTACAATGCTAAATAAAACTAGTGTTAGAAAACATCTTTTCATTGTTCTCAATGTTAGGCAGAAAGCATTGAACTTTTCACCATTGAGTATAACTTAGGTGTAATTTCTTTTTTTCATAAATGACCTTAATAAGTCTGAGGAAATTCCCTTCTATTCCTAGGATGTTGAAAGACTTTATCACAAAACGTTGATTATTATAAAATGCTATTTGTGCAGCTATTGCAATTATCTTATGAGGTTTCTCTTTTATTGTCATTAATATAGTAAGCTATGTTCAATGATTTTCAGATGTTAAACCAACTTTGCATTCCTAAGATAAACCCGTTGGTTATGATGTATTACCATCTTTTACATATCATTGATTTTTTTTTTTTTTTTTTTTTTTTTGAGACAGGGTCTTGCTCTGTTACCTAGGCTGAAGTGCAGTGGCATGATCATGGCTTACTGTATCCGTGATCTCCTGGGCCTAAGAAATCCTCCCCACTCAGCCTCCCAAATAGCTGGGACCACAGGCACAAGCCACCATGCCTGGCTAATTTTTTAAATGTTTGTAGAGATTGAGTCTCAGTTTGTTATTCAGGCTGGTCTCAAACCCTTGGGCTCAAGCAATTCTTCTGCCTCAGCCTCTCAAAGTGCTGGAATTATAGGTGTGAGGCACCATGCCAGGCCTATTGTTGATTTTTATATGTTAATATTTTGCCAGGCCTTTTTCCTCATAATCATGAAGGATATTGGTCTTAATTCTTTTTTCTTGTGATTTCTTTATCTGGTTTTAGAGTGAGAATATTACTGCTTCATAAAATAAGTTGGGAAGTGTTCCATTTTATTCTATTTTCTGAAAAAATTTATGTTAAATTTTCATAATTTTTGCCTTAAATATTTGATAGAATTAATTAATGAAGCCAAATGGGCATGAAGTTTTCTTTGTACGAAGCCTTTGAATTACAGATGCAAGTTCTTTAACTGAAATAGAGCTGCTTCAGTTTCCTATTTCTTCTGAGGTTGGTGTTGAAAACAGGAGTCATTTGATGATTTGTCCATGTCATCTAGCTTGTAAAATTTATTGGTATTGTAGGAGAGAAAGGATCTTTTCTCACCCATTGTCAGTGTCATGGCTGAGGCACCTACAACAAAAGACATATCAACACGAGAAAAGCATACACATTTATTTAACATAAGTTTTATGTGACATGGGAAACTTCACATAGGAACATCCAGAGAAGAAACGAAACCTGTGTATTTTTATGCTTCGGTTTGAAGAATGGTGGACAGTTATGGAGAAGTACAATTGGAGAAAGGTGATGTGATCTAATGGTAATAAATGGGGAATTTAGCAAGGCCTGTTGGTTGACATTCTTCTTTGTGTCCCTGTGTCTTGTGAAATAAGGAAATTCTTTTCTTCTGAGTACAAGAAGGACACTTCTAGAATGAAAGTCTTGTAACCTGCTTCAGAAGAAAGTCAGCGGATTCTTGCATGGCCTGCTTTAGGGGAGAAGTGTGGAGGAAGGGCAGAGAGACCTTTCTGTTTCTGCTATTTCTTCCACTGCCAAGGTGCCATATTTTGTGGTAGTATATCCTGAACCCCATCAGTATAAATTTAGTTTTATTTTAAAAATAAATAATTTATTTAAAAATATTTATTAATTTTAAAAATATGCATTTTGTTTTAATTAAGAGTGTATTATCTTTTTAGTAAGATAACAGGTTATGCTTTAGTAGGATAGAAGTATCTGCATTTATCTCCCTACTTTATTTCCTGAATTGGTCATTTGTATCTTCTTTTTTTCTTGACCAAACTGGATATTTACCAATTTTTTGAACTTTCAAAGAACAAGTTCTTGGCATTATCATGTGTATTATTTCTGTATTCTACTTCAGAAAGTTATTTTCTTTTCTTTGTTATTCCTTCCTTCTGCTTGCTTCAGTTTTAATTTATTTCTTTTCTTCTATCTTGTTAAGATGAAAGTCTAGGTCTTTGGTTTAATATTTTTTCCTTTCTAATTAAACTATTAAAGCTAAATTTTTTCCTGTATATGTAGCATTAATGATGTCTCACAAATTTTGATATGCCGAATTACATTATTATTCAGTTTAAATTGTTTCTAATTTTCCCTGTAGTGTCTCATACACCCACTAGGTATTTTGAAATCTGTTAATTTCCAAATATTTAAAGTTTATCTGACCATCTTATTGTTACAGATTTTTAAAATTTAAATCCACTGGATGAAAGACTACTTTGTAGATATTTCAGTCTTTTGAAGCCTATTACATTATTTTTATGGACAATAAAATAGTCTACCCTTTAAATATACCATATGCACATGTAAGAAAACCACGTATATGGCTGGGTTGGGTTTATCATTTGTTTGTCTGTTTTCTAAGTGTCCCCTCCATCTTGTTTCTCTCTCATTATTTGACTTTCATTTTATTGTTTAAATATCTTTAGAATTTTAATTTTCCTATTTCAGTTGCATTTCTTTGCATTAGCTTTTTTTACGGTTGTCTTAGAAGTTATATACCATTAAATTTCCAAAGTCCAGAAGCAGTTAACAATGTACCACTTCTTATAAACTATAGAAACCTGCTAAGCTTTCAGGTCCATGTCCACTCCCATGCAATTACAGTTGTTACATGTATTACATCAACATACTTTATGTATTACAGAAGACAATGTTATAGTTTTAGTTTATGACACAATATGGTTTATAAAGAAATTAAAATTAAAAAGTCAAAAAGAAAACAATGTCTTTTGCATTTATCCACAATTGGCCATTTCTGATTTTTTTATTCTTTATCAAGATTTGAGTTTCCATCGTCTATCATTTTCCTCCATGATGAAATTCCCTTAGGATTTCTTTTTGTACGGGTCTGCTGGAAAAACACATTATTTTATATTTGTTTTATCTGAAAATATCTTCATTTCATCTTTATTCTTGAAGAATATCTTCTGTGAATATAGATGTCCAGTTTATAGGGTTTTTTGTTTTGTTTTTTGCCTTTCAGCATATTGAAACTCTGTTCCACTCTCTTCTGGCCACCACGGTTTTTAATGAGAAGTCAACCATTAATTGAATTATTTCCCAGAATGTATTATTTTTCTTTTGGTGCCTTTAAAATTTAGTTGCTGCCTTTGGCTTTTGAAGTTGACTGTTATGTGCTTTTATTCTTTTGGTCTCTTCTTCTTCCTTCAACTTTTATTTTAAATTCTTGGGTACTTGTGCAGGATGTGCAGGTTTGTTACATAGATAAATCTGGTTTGCAGCACAGATCAACCCATCACCTAGGTATAAAGGTGGTTTGCTGCACAGATCGACCCATCACCTAAGTATGAAGCCCAACATCCATTAGCTATTCTTCCTGACGTTCTCCCTTCCCCAACCTCTCCCCTCAATATTCCCCAGTGTGTGTTGTTCCCTGCAATGTGTCCATCTGTTCACATTGTTCAGTTCCCACTTATAAGTGAGAACATGCGGTGTTTGGTTTTCTGTTCCTGCGTTAGTTTGCTGAGGATAACGGCTTCCAGCTCCATCCATGTCCCTGAAGAAAACATGATCTTGTTCGTTTTTTGTGACTGTATAGTATTCCATAGTGTATATGTACCATCTTTTCTTTATCCAGTCTATCATTGATGGACATTTGGGTTGATTCCATGTCATTGCTATTGCAAACAGTGCTGCAATGAATATATATGTGTACATATCTTTATAATAGAAATATTTATTTTCCTCTGGGTGTATACCCAGTAATGGGACTACAAGGTTAAATGGTATTTCTGCTTCTAGATCTTCAGGAATCGCCACACTGTCTTCCACAATAGTTGAAGTAATTTACATTCGCACCAACGGTGTAAAAGTGCTACATTTTCTCTGCAATCTTGCCAACATCTGTTTTTTCTTGAATTTTTTTTTTCCTTAAGTTCTGGGATAGCTGGCATAAGATGGTATCTCATTGTGGTTTTGATTTGCATTTCTCTAACGATGTGATGTGCTTTAGATTGAGCTGCTTTGTGTTTATTTTGTTTGATGTTCACTAAGTATCTTGTATTTGCCAAGGTATGTCTTTCATCACATTTTTTAGCTGTTAATTTGACAAACAGTTTTTCTACTTCTTTATCCATTTTCTCTCCTAGTATTGTAATTACACATAACTTGGGCAGTTGGATATCACCTCACAGGTCTCTGATGCTCTGTTCATTAAAAACAAATTTTCTCCCTGTTTATTTTGAATAATTTCCTTTTTGTTTTTCTGAGACAGAGTCTCACTCTGTCACTCAGGCTGAGTGCAGTGGTATGATCTCTGCTCACTGCAGCCTCTGCCTCCCAAGTTCAAGCGATTCTCCTGCCTTAGCCTCCTGAGTAGCTGGGCCCACAGATATGCGCCACCACGCCCAGCTAATTTTTGTATTTTTAGTAGAGATAGGGTTTCACCATGTTGGCCAGGCTAATCTCAAGTGATCCACCTGGCTTGGCCTCCCAAAGTGCTGGGATTATAGTCGTGAGCCACTACTCCCAGCCTCACCTTGGATATTGATCTATCATTTAATCTTTCCTAAGTCATGGTAATTAAATTATCAAGTCCATCAATGAATTTTTTAATTTCAGAATTTTTTATTCTTCTATTTATAAGTCCCCATTTGGTTCCTTTATGTTGTCTGCTGAGATTTTCCATTTCTTTGCTGAGATTTTCATTCATTGAAAAACAGGCTTATGTTAATTCATTGAGGATAGTTGTAATAGCTTTCAAAAAATCTTTGACAGTTCCAGAAATCTGTTCCATTTCCAGGTCAAACTATTAACTTCCTTTTATGTTGAGCATGTGTTCCATTTTCTTTGTTATTTGTATGTATATATACTAATTTCTGTACATTCTGGGTTTTGATATTATTTCCCAATAAATGTTATTTCCTTTGCTCTAGCAGGCAATTTTCTCTGCTAGGCTTACGCCACTAACTTTGTTTCTTGGGTAGCAGTTTTATTGTTAGTGAAGATGTTTAACCTCTTTAGCTGACCTGCCTTGATTCCCTTCCACAGATATGATTCACAGGTCATTCAGCAATGTGGGAAGGCAGTGACTGGGGATCCCCTCTTTGAATTATTTCCTAACTTGCCCATTCTTCCTCTCGAAGCCTTCTCAAATCACCTGTCTTCTTCATTTTCATTGTTTCTGCCTTGGTTCTGATTGTCATCACCTTCACCATAGACTACTCCAGCAGTCTCCTAATGGGTCTCTCTCCTTATTTTCATTCTCTATGCAGACAAAGCCATCTCTCTCTTTTAAAACTCCTTTTTATCCCTTTGGCAGAAACTATTTTGGTCAAGTTTCTTAGCCTGACATTTAAGGTCCTTCCAATTCTGGCCTTGGCCCCTCTTTCCATTTGAATGCCTATCACCCCAACAAAGCATCCTGAGCACCATCATGTCTCCCAGTCCTCTGCACTCCCTCATACTGCTCCCTGCACCTGTAATGTCCTTCTCCCACTATGGCCAGGTAAGATCTTCCTGGGATCTGCATAAAGGCCAACTCCCTTGTACAGTTTTCATGCCTTTTCCAGGAAGGATTCATCTCTCCCTGCTTTCAGTCCACACTTCATTCATCCTATTTTTTACTCATCACAGCATGATAGAGTTATTTGTCTGTTATAACTCTCTGTCTTCTGCACTAGAGTACATGATTCTCCAGAGAAGAGGCCACACCTTCCTGATTTTCTATCTCTAATACCTAGCATAATGACTGGTACCAAGTTAGAGGCTAACTATATGTATAATGAATTGAGCCAATTAATACTATCGTAAGACTGATTCACCAAATATCCACCTTACATACAAAACACTGAGCAGAACCACTCGTGTAAGAGTAACTGCTCTAGAATGAGGAGGGCCTGACGCAGGTGGAGAAAGGACAGAGGCATTGGCATGGTGTTTCTTTTTTGTCAAATTATACTTTTGTGCCTCTTCATGAGATTCAATTATCATTATTTTATCCTTATCATTGCAAAGCAATAAGATGTTACACAGGGGAGCGTACAGTGCATTTTAACGCTATATGGATAGGGAGATAAAGTTGAAAAGCCACGCTCAGTGGGAGTTCTAAGAAACATACAATGTCAGATTCCTAGGAGAAAATTTCCCAAAGGAAAGCTTACAGCACCACCGATTGCTACTTTTCATGTGCAATATATCTAGTGCTTTGCATTTAAAATATACCACTAATCTCATTTTTCTGTGTACTTATGCAATTCTTCAAGCTGAAAATATTACAGAAATGGAAAAAATTGCATTGGTAGCTAGGACTGGGAAGATGGTTTCTTTTTTGTTTTCAAACTGATGTAAGAATAACAAATTATTTTTCTAACTCTCTCAATAATACGATAAAATTCCAGTTATTTACTCATAGTATCATATGTCAGCTGATTTTATATGTTGTTTACTTTTGCTTGACAATAATGAGTTTTTAAAAAGGCTTTCAAAGGCCATGCATATGTTAAAAATTTAAATAATGTTATAGCATCATATGGTACTGTAGATTCATTAACAACTGGGCTAACAGATCTCATTACTAAGTGTAATTTGTATATGCTGTTTGGTTTTGAAGAGTACATTAATCCCTGATTGTATAAATATCACAAAGAATCCTTACATAGTAATAGATTTTAATTTCTGAAACAAAGAGTATACACAATGAATGTAGTAATTTTTTCGCATATCATCTTTTAATTTTAAATAACTAGCAATAGAAAGTGTTCTATTGCTTATTTTATTTCTATCTATAATTTACTTGCATTTATGTATGGTCTGATAACAAAAGCATACAACAAACACATATCTTAAGACAGTCAACATCAATATTATGGTCATAAAATATTAACGTGTAATCTCTAGTACCCACATTGCAGTCTAGAAATACCATTTCCCACCAAATGAAACTCAAATTCTCTCTGCAAATGGCTAATTCCAGGTCTGTGACAGGCAATATCTGAGCCCAAAGGTCAAAATTTATTAGGACCATGCCAAAATGACTCAGAAGCCATCTTGGAGAGCCTCCCGCTGGCCAAGAATAGAACATTTGGAGCATTGATATAACTAATAACTGCAAAAGATTAAAGCTCATCAACTATGCATAAGTTCTTGAACTTAAAATGATACTTAAAAAACAAACAGATTTGGAGGCTTATTTACTATTCTTTCTACTTTTGTTTAACATTTTCTATTTACAGTTCAAGAATTTTAAAAACATCATGCAGCTATAATGTAAATAAAGGTCTGTTGCACCGGTCTTTCATTTCATCCCTTTTGGGCTTCTGCCATAATTTGTTTATAGAATTAACCTGATATTTTGGTTGCACGCTATTCGTGACTGTGTTTTCACCAGGTTTCTCCAATAATCACTGGACCACAAGCTCCAATTCTGAACATTTTCCCTGCAAAGTCAGGAGCTGGGAGCCTAGGAACTCACAGCAGCCAAATGAAGGTCTTCAGTCCAGATGTAGATACACTGCCTCTCATGAAGAGTGATTTTTCCTTTGGCTCTTAAACAGTAAGGTTTGTATGGCAAGTTATAAGAAGAATCAAAAATGATTAGAAAGCTGACATTAATTCCTACTGCCAGTTTCTTTTAGGAAATATGAGTGAAATGCAAATATTTTAGTTGAACCATATTTATAATCTAGAACCGTACTGCTAATATGTAGCCTCTAGCCACATGCTTCCATTAATATTAAAATTAATTAAAATGAAATAACATTAAAAATTTAGCTCCTCATTTATACTAGACACATTTCAAGTTCTCAGTAACCACATATAGCTGGTGGGTACTGTGTTGGATGCTGTGGGTATAGAATATTTCTAATACTGCCAAAAGTTCTTCTGGATAGCACTGTCTACGAGGTTATATTACGTGAGTATGTTTTATTTGGAATGTCTTAGTTTACACCACAGCCTATCTTTCACCTGGAAAAATCACCCTTCTCAGGCCATGGCTATCGAAGAGAACACCAAAGAATGTCCCTGAAGGTGGTGAGCAGACCTCCATTATTCTTAAAGATAATGAAGACAACCATTGTGGGACAAAATAGGAAATCTTTAAATAGTTAAATACTAATTTCAGAATAACCCAAATGTCATAAGACCTTAAAAAAGAATGCAGGCTTATATTGTACCAGGAGTCTCAGTAATCATCATCAGAATCAATGGATTAAAAAGTAGGAGTTTGAATGCCATGGAAATGCCAAAGGCACTTCTGGTTTTTAGGTTTTGTTAAAACTCATGATATTTAAAAACAGTACCCAACATGATAACGACATTCTTTTCTTTGGGATTATGAGAACTGCACACAGCCCTTTAGC